AGTTTTCATTTGGTCTTTTTTTTTTAAGAGTTTGGTGCTATTGCTAGTGATAGAGCTCAGTGGTAGAGTACCTAACATGTACGAAGCTTTAGGTTCAGTCAAAAAAAAAATCTGTTGCTTCTGTGTTAAATGTAATTAAAGGCAAGACTGAATTTGGAATCTATTTAGTATCATTGACTACTAAAGGTATACCTGTTACTGTGTTTATAATTACCACTTAAAATGTATAATTCAGTGATATTATGTACATTCACTGTTGTGTAACTATTACTATCGTCTAGTTCCAGAACTTAATCATTATCCCAGTGGAAGCTTAGTATAGAAAATACAGAATTTTTAGCAGAGCCTTAAAACACTTAGCGGTAACTGTGATACTTTATTTCAGACTTCAGTAATGCTTCCATAAGAGAGTTGTCAAACAGGAAATCTGGGAAATATTGAGGCTGATTTATTATGATTATAACTATAAGCAGTTATTTGATTATAAGATGGGCCAACTCTGAAGCACATGCATAGCCTTGCTGTTACTTTCTTCAAATTCTTCATACCTTTGTGTTGGCTGTTTTAGCGAGAAAGAAGCCTGCATATTTATGGATGAAGTAATGTGTCAGAGTTATAGAAGTCCTTCTGTAATAATTAAAAAAAAAAAACACTATGAGATAATAGCTGATGAGTCTCAAATTTCTCCTGCCATCTATACTATTTCTTTTTTTTGTGTGTCTTTTTGAGACAGGGTCTTGCCCTGCAGTTCAGGCTGGCCTTGAGCTCACTTTGTAGCCCAGGATGGTCTCAAACTCGATGATCCTCTTGCCTCAGCCTCCCGAGTGCTGGTATTACAGGTGTGCGCCACCACACCCAGCCTTCTCCTGCCATCTAAATTCTTTATTCCCAGTTCCTCCCATAATATTAGTGAAATCTCTTTTAAGCTAAATAGCATTTTTAAGATAGGAGATTGTAAAAAGATTTTATTAAAGATTCTAAATTGAGTATCCTAAAGGACTTTGCTTAGGTTAATAAACCATAGATTGCCATAGCTAAAAGAAATAATAAATGGTAAGTATCTGTGTAAGTCTTTCATGGCACTGGGCATTGAACCCTTCACATTCCAGCCCTTTTTCATTCTTTTGAAATAGAGTACCGCAGAGTCACTAAATTGCCCAGTCTGGGCTCAGACTTGGAATCCTCCTGCCTTGGTATGACCAAAAAAAAAGTGTATTTATTTTTTAAATTGTAATACATAATTTTGTGTGCATTTCACCACTAGGAAAAGTATATTATAAATATATCTCTGTAATACTTTACAAGCGTGGTTGCATGTTAGTTTAGCAGGTGGATTTGGAATCACAAAGGCTGTTTAGAGCCCCAGTTTGACTCCTTGCTGACTGTGTAATCTTGAATGTAGATGTAATTTGTTTGGACCGACTGGTGGTCTGAATGTTTGTGTCCTTCTGGAACTCGTATATTGAAATCCTAACCCCCAAAGTGAGGTATTAGCAGGTGGAGCCCTTTGAGTGGTGTCTAACTCATGAGGTCTCTGCGCGGCATTAATGGCCCTTACAAGAGAGGTTTGGGAGAGCTACCTAAGCCCCTTCCACCATGGGAAAATAAAGTTAAAAGACACGTTCTATGAGGACTGGTCCCTCATCTGACACTAAATATGCTGATTTCTTATCTTACGCTCCCAGCCTCCAAGATTATGAGGAATAAATGTTTGTTTATTAGCTACTCAGTTTATACTGTTATGCCAGTCCAAACAGAGTGAGCAGAGCCTAGTTTCTTCATCTAGATTGTTGTATGGGGGGAAAAAACTGTAAAACTGTAAAACTACCTTAGACACTGTAAAGTGCTCTGTGAGCTATTATTCCCTTCAGATAATGTCTTATCTGAATAAGTTAGGATGACCCTGCTACTTGGTGCTGTTCCAAGTTTGACATTATAAATTACCAGCGATTAGTCATGTTGTCAGTTTTATAAATAAGTGTCTGCTGATTTCCTAATCCTTGGCAGATTATTCTAATTGTACACGGAAAGAAGAGAAGGTCCCTTTTATTTGCTCCCTAGTATGCCTATCTGCTTGTTCAAGAATCTGAGTAAGGGATTTTTATCTACTTGGTGTGGAGTTGCTTAAACACATCATACTACAGTAATACATGCATACCCATGTTTATAGCAGCATAATTCATAACTGCTAAATCTTAGAAGTGACCCATAGGTCCATCAATAGATAAATGGATAAAGAAAATGTGGTATTTACACATAATGGAGTACTACTCTGTCATAAAAAGTGGTAATGGTTACCACTTTCTAAGAGTGCTGCTCCAGGGAGTAAGGGTTCATCACTTCATGGGTCTTTGGGGGACATTTGAGATCCAAATATAGTGTTCCACCCTAATCTGAAAGGCTCATGTTCATCTCACATATGCAGATAGATTCAGTCCATCTTAAAGAATTTGTAAAATCTTAACTGTTCTAGTGTTGCTCAGAAGTCCAAGTCCAGCTGAATGTGGTGAAACATGCCTATAATCCCGGTACTTGGGTTACTGAGGCAGGAAGGTCGTGAATTCAAGGCCAGCCTGGTCTATATAGTGAGTTTGAGGCCAGCCTAAACTACAAAGCAAGGTCTTTTCTCAAAAAACAAGCAAAAAAAATCATTCAAGCCCAGTCTTCTCTGAGGTTCAAGACAAACTCAGTTCCTTATAAATCTCAAAGAGAAAGTCACATACTTCCAAGATACAGTGGCAAGGGGTAAGCATTCCTGTTCTGAAGCAAAGAATGGGACATAGAAAGGAGGGACAGACCAAAGCAAGGCCACGACTCAGCGAGGAAAGCATTAAATATAGCTGCTTGTTTGGCATCCAGTACTCACTAAGGAGCATTATGGGCTTGTGAGGGCTTGGGCAAGTCTTCCCCTATGACTGTGCGGTTGTGACCCCCTTGATCACTCAGGAGCTGGCTTAGCATACTGCCTGTAGCTTCTCTCAGCAGACATTCCACATTCCTGGCATCTCTATTTGCCCTAGATCTTCATTGCAGCTTCAGCTTCACTCTCATACCTCTGTGCATTACCCTGTCAAGGGCCTGTTTGCAGGGACTTAGACCCTGTCAGAGGCTGTGTGGTCTCCCAGCTTTTCCTCTGAAATCGTAGTGGAAGCCTCTGTTACCTTTTAACGCTTACATTGTGAATTCTGGCAAAGCCAGTGTCATATGAGCCATGATAGTACCTGTGTATGCTAAGCACGCATTCTACCACCATATCCTCAAGCTCCAAGTGGTGTTTCAGAGCTTCTTTTAAATTGTATTCTTGTGTATGCCTACTGAAGTCTCCATTTAGTTTGGTGGTCAGCCAGTGATTAGACAGACTTAAATATCTGGAACCAGAAGCGTAAGTCTCCCGTTCTTTGTCAAGGGGCTCTGTGTTCACATTCGGGCACATTTCCAGCACTCAGGCAGTTTATAGCTACTCATTTGCTTTCACTTCCTGTTTGCACAGAGGCTCAAGGTTAGCCAGAGGTGGGAGCTTATGCTCTTCTCGGGTCGGGTCTTGCCTGGCTGTGCCTTCAGCTCATGCACATGGCCTTCTGAATTCCCAGAAATACCTTAGCAGTATTTGCAAATCTTTTAGAGACCAAGTGGCCAAACTGCAGCTCAGAACCCACTTATTTATCATAAAGTGCTAACACTGCAATTAAACCTGAATGTACTGTACTGAGGTTTTATTTTAGAAAAAAAAACCTCATACATTAACATCTTTAGTCTTAAAAGAAAAACGATAACAGAGCTTTCAATGATAAAAACAGCTTTTTATTGAAAGGCAAAAGTTTGCCTTTGGTGTGCTTTTGCACAATTAATGTGATCTTTGTTGTGTGCATACTGATAGGTTATCAAACCTTGGCTGGGGCAGCCTGGCTCGCATGTAGAGAGAGCTCTGTGTGCCCGCTGTGGCACACGTGCCATAGGTTTGCCACCATTGCCGTAGAGCTTTTCAAAGCTCCACCTGTGGACATCTCATTCCTTAGCTTTTTCTTTTCAGCTTTCTGGTTAGCTTGTTTACCCAGGCTTTTACCTACTGCAACAGGCAGTTGTTATGTTAAATAGTTGCCTGATTGTTACCAACAAGCTCTTGGGAGAAGGCTGTTCGCACTGGATAAGCTCAGATACAGGTTAAATAAATCTGATCAGGTCAGATATATACGATCTTAGAGATGAGTTGTTCAGATGAATCAGCAGATAGGTCAAATAGTAATGCTTCCTTGGGAAAAGAAGACTGTCCAACCCTTCCTGCCCTTCCGTGGCTGCTTCTTTTTTTCTTTTTTTCTGGTACCGGAAATTGAATTCATGACCTCAGGCTTGCCAGGCAAGCATTTGAGCCGCTGAGCTATATTCCCGGCACCCCCTCCATGGCTTCTAAGCTGCTAATTTTCAGTGTTACTGGCTGTTGGTTTTTAGGGCTCCTGTGTAACTTAAAGAGAGGAGAATAGCAATAGAGCACAGAAAAGTGCCATGAAGCTTGAATGTCGAAATCTATGGTTTTTCTTGAATAAATGCACGTTGATTATTGGAATCCTTCGGTTAATTTCCAGAATTCTGAAAAAGGTGATCCTGGTTATTTTGCTAGTATTTTTTTTTTCTCGGTCCCAAGGGAGCAGGTTTTTTTTGCTAGTATTTTTTTTGCTTTTATGGAGGAAGTAATTCTTGGGAATCCATCAGCATTTTTGCTGACATCACTTTAACATGAAGAATTTACACATTTGAAAAACAGATACCGAAGATTTTCTTGTGACACAGATTAACTTTTTGATCCAGAGCACAGGAAGACCAGGGGACCCTACCGTGATAACTCTTGGGAGCTCCGTGTTCCCTGTTGTTGTTATCACTGTGTCCTTTTTTTTTTTTTTGGTACCAGGAATTGAACTCATGACCTCACACCTGCCAGACAGGTGCTTATGCTGCTAAGTTACATCCCCAGCACAGATTAACTTTTTTTTTTTTTTTTCTGGTACCGGGAATTGAACTCACTATCTTGCGCTTGCCAGGCAGGCGCTGTGCTGCTGAGCTAAATCCCCAGCCCCAGATTAACTTTTTAGCTGTATTTTATTGATTTCATTTACATTGTGTTTCACATATATGTATAAAATGGTAGTGTTCTGTAGGTTTTCTAAACACATGAGTTAGCGAGTGAACTTTGATTTGCAACTTGCTTTTTTTCCTTAACTGTGTGTCTCGGAGATCTTTGTACTGCTTTACATATTTAAAGATACATGTACATCTCTGTTATTTCATGGTGTTAATATATACCTTAGAATTCTTACTGCATAATTGATGAGCTTATATTTAGTTTATAATAGCCAAGAGAACTAGAAACAGTGTTACAACTAATCTTTTTGTATGTACAGTACCTGTTTATATAGCGCCTAAATGTTTATCTGGAAACATGTAGATTTATTTATTTATTTTTTCTCCGGTACCGGGAACCGAACTCACAACCTTGCGCTTGCCAGGCAGGCGCTTTGCCACTGAGCTAAATCCCCAGCCCTCTAAATGTTTATCTGGAATCGCTATATGGGTAGCATGTTGCTTGATTGAAAAATATGTGCATTAAAATATTTAAGAATACTTTAAAATTGTCTTCCAAAACCTGAACTCATTTACGTTTCCAGTAGTGTATCTGTGAGAGTAACTCTTTTCCAGCATGTTCGCCAGTACTGAATATTAGCAGTCTTAAAAGTTTTGAAAGTCTGGGCCAGTATAGTTTGTTAATTTTGAAAATTTGCACTTAGGTTACATTTTAAAGGATAAGCCTTTGCTGCATCAGTAATAATTTTAATCTTTTTATTTCTCCTCTTTAGGGAATGGCTTTTACATTACAGGAACGACAAATGCTTGGTCTTCAAGGACTTTTACCTCCCAAAATAGAGACACAAGATATTCAAGCCTTACGATTTCATAAAAACTTGAAAAAAATGACCAGCCCTTTGGAAAAGTAAGATGATTAGATGTTTAGTTGTTACTGGTATTTTGATTAGAAATATTGTGCTATGGTTATTACAGTATGAGAGATACACAGTCTTATAATGAAGTTTGCATTTTATCATTGAACTATTACTTTTATATGGTAGTTTCCCTTAAGTGAGGACTTTACTCACGTTCACTGTTGTAAAACTTAAATTAGTGTTTATGCTGAATATCAGTGCATTTCATATGTGAATGGAATATTAGAGGCAAAGGATAAATCCAGTTTACACCTATTTACTTAACAACTTCTATTGATCACCCACTTTCTGTGTTATACTCTGCTAACCACTGAGGATATAAATTGATTAATAGTTGTGGAAGCTGAGCAGTCCAAGGCTGAGGGACTGCATCTGGTGATAGCCTTCTTGCTAGTAGGGACTTTGCAGGGGTCTTGAAGGCATCACGTAATGAGGGTTATTAGAAGAGATGGCTTTTATAACAGAGCTACACTACTGATAACTAACCTCCATGAATAACTCATTAATCAGTGAAAAGATTAACTCATGTATGAGGGCAGAGCCATCATGACCCAGTTACCTCCTGAAGGCTCTATTCCAAATGTAAGGTTTGTGATATTAATTTCCTTTTTTTTTTTTTATTTTAAAGAATAAAAGAAGGATAACATAATAATAGGGGGGGCTTACCAAGTTACAGACAAAGTGGTAGGAAATTATCAGTGGTTATTGTTATCTATAAGATAGTTTCTCAACATTAATTTTCTAACACACATAATGTAGAAAACACATTCAGACTATAGCAATAACCAACCCAGTAATGTAGAGCCCTGCCTTCTAGTAGCTCATCAGCAACTAGTCACACTAGGGCTGCAGTTGTATGCTGTACTACAGTGTATACTATAGTGAGAAAAATGTGCATGTAGAATGTATTCTGAAAGCATGAGGGGGGCCCTTAGCTCCCCTCAAGTGAAACTTCCAGAAGGAAGTGATACCTGAGCTGATGTATAAACAGTAAGCTAGAGCTGAGAAAGCTGCATCTGCAACTGAGAAAGAAGGCCGGGTGTGGTGGTGCATGCCTGTAATCTGAGCACTTGAGAGGTTGAGGCAGGGGGATTGCCATGAGTTCAAGGCCAGCCTGGGCTATAAAATGAGACCCTGTCTAAAAAAAAAAAAAAGATGGGGAGAGAGAAAGGAAGACAAGGTATTCTAGGTCTAGGTAGAGGGAACAGTCTGAATATAACACTGAGGATGTCTGTTGGAGTTGTTAGGTATAGAGCATTATTGGTGACTGGTAAGAGTGGTTTCTTGGATGTGACGGAGCAAAAGGAAGGCTGCAATAGATTGAAAAATAAACAGAAGGAGAGAAAATGTAAACTGTTCTCAAGAAGTTCAAGAGGGGAAAGAAAGATATCGAATGTAAGTAAATTCGAGCTTTGGTTTAAGTACTCCAGCCTAGGAGAAAATTGAATATGGTCAAAGTGAGGAAAGAGCCCAGTAGGAAGGATAACTTCTAGAACAAGGCCCTAGAGAAATGCAGAGGGGTAAAGTACAGTGGTAGAGAGGCTGCCTTGAATTAGAGAGACAGATACAGGTAAGGAAACATACCCTGGTGGGAGGACAGAGGTTATGAGATCTCATCATACCTGATGAGCTGGATTTTTTCCTTGCCCTCAAAAAACCCAAATTTTCATATCTTCTGTTGATTTCCCTTATGACATAGAGTGTGAAAGTCATGGCTAAGATTTACAAAGGCCAAGGTGGAATAAGGTTGGCAAGGAGAATGGTAAATGTTAGGAAGAGCCACTCAGTTAGTTATGCAGTAAAGCTGAACAGGTTGGGCAGGTTAAAGGGGGTGAGAACAGACCCCAAAGGCCTTGGTGTGATCTTGCTTGTAAAGTATTCTCTCTCCACAAAAAAGAAGAAATGTAACAATGATTCAGGTTGGTTGGGATTTGGTGAGCTGGCAAAAATGCTTTATTAGTTCGTTCATCTATTCATGCTAAGCTGTTACGTGGTAGGCATTGTTCTAGGCTGTACTACAAAAGTGAAAAAACACAATCCTCCTTTCAAGGAGTCACTGTCTGGTGAAAAGGCAGACACTGTGGAAGGGCAGTGCAGTGATAAAGGTATTAGAAGTTCTTAAATGGTAACAGCCGTGCTCAGAGTGAGAGAACTGATCCTGGGTTCCAGACTAGGGAGCGAAGAGGAGCTAGAGGGAGCTGATAGAATGGGAGAAAGTGATGCTATCAAAAAGCAAGAGATCACTTGAAGAGTTATAAAGTGAGGACATTGTAGTAGCCAAAGAGAAGCAAAGTTGTGGTCATCTACTGAGTTTTAACAGTCCTAGATGGCAAGATCACTGTGAGGAAGCTGGGCGTGGTAGTGCACGCCTGTAATTCTAGCACTCAGGGGACTGAGGCAGGAGGATCATCGCGAGTTCTAGACCAGCCTGGGCTACAAAGTGAGCTCAAGGCCAGCCTGAACTGCATAGCGAGACCCTGTCTCAAAAAGACATACACACAGAAAAGATCACTGTGAGGAATATAAAAGAGTGGCAATAGTGGCAACAGAAGTGACAGCATTAAATAGGTTCTGTATTTCACAGCCTCCTTTGGTCACCCACCTTTTTTTTTTTTTTTTTTTTAATTTTTACTAGTACATGTTTACATTATTATATTCACTGGGGGGGAATCGGTACAAGCACATATGTACATAGCACATCTCAATTCTTTTTTTTTTTTTTTTTTTTTTTTTTGGTCTTTTTTGAGGCAGGGTCTCCCTATGCAGTTTAGGCTGGCCTTGAGCTCACTTTGTAGCCTAGGCTGGTCTCGTCAATTCTTTTTTTTAACCCTCTTTTTTTTTGCCAGCATCAGATTTATTTTATGCCTTTGTCAAGTTAATTATCGTAAACACAAATTAACAGCCAGACTAATGACTCAAAAAACAAATGGAATACTTGAAAGTTATACTAAATTAAAGTACATGTTTAGATGCATTGGCCAGGCTAGGTTACAATAACTTTTTCCTCTATTTGTTTTTCTTTGCACTTTATTTGTGTATTGGGTTTTTCATAGAAAAAAACCCGTATGATAGTTAAGCTTTTGTGTCTTATTTTCTTCACTTAACATTATGGTCTCAAGGTTCATCCATTTTCCTACAAATGACTCAAGTTTAGCTTTCTTCATGGCAGAGTTACATACAAAATTGTATGTAAATACCACATTTTCTTTATCCATTCATCTGTTAGCACCTACAGGCTACTTGCAAGAGTCAGCTGTTAAGAATTGTGCTGCTACAAACGTGGATATGCATGTATCACTGTAATATGATGTCTTTTCACTCTTTCAGGAGAATACCTAGAAGGGAATTACCTGGATCAAATGGAATTTCTATTTTTAGTTATTTGAGGACTCTCCATACTGATTTCCATAGTAGTTGTACCAGTTTGCACTACCACCACCAATGGAGAAGTGTTCCGCTCCCCAGCCTTGCCAGTATTTGTTACTGTTTGATTTCGTGGAGATAGCTACTCTTTCTGGAGTGTGGTGGAATGTCACTGTTATTTTAATTTGCATTTCTTGAATGGCCAGCAATGTTGAACATTTTTTTAATGTATTTATTGACCATTTATACTGCTTCATCTGTAAAGTGTTTGTTCATTTCAGATTAGGTCTTTAAATTAGGTCCCATTTTTTTATTAGGTCTTTACATATAATTGTTTTGAGTGCTTTATATATTCTTAATATTAGTCCTCTGTCTGAGGAGTAGCTGGCGAAAGTCTTTTCCCATTTTCCAGGTTGTCTCTTCATTCTGTTGGTGGTTTCCTTCGTTGTGCAGAAGGCATTTAATTTGCTGTGATCCTGTTGGTTGATTCTTGGTACTATTTCTTGTGCAGTTGGGATTCTGTTCAGAAAGTCCTTGCGAACAGCTGTGTCTTTTCTCTCTCTCTCTCTTTTTTTTTTTTTTCCAGTACCGGGGAACACCTGTGTCTTCAAGAGTTTTACCTATTTTGTCTTCCAGCATAGTAAATGTTTCTGTTTGAATATTTAGATATTTGAT